AATGCAGCAGAAAGGTGCATCGCTGTCAGCATATTTTGAAACATAAGCTTTATACTCTGAGAATGCATAATGCCTACAACTGGATAATGAAAATTATAGTGCACTCCTTTTGACACCTGCTTTTATTAATTAACATAGATAATGAGTATAACATTGTGGTTCAGTGTCTCATTCTTAGTTAGATTATTTCAATGCCATTATTCTATACTATTATTTCTATTATAGCCAAAGCTCTTTGGACCATTCACAACAATTACTCAAACATGAGAGAGAGAGAGAGAACATTTTTTCATGTAGTAGTCTATTTACACTCTTGTCTCTGGTCCTGATCACGTTAAGCTATCTTGAAACTTGTTTCAGTGCTGCTTTTTGTGTGCCATGGTAACTTCCGCACTGTAAGGCTGTTCTCAAGGGCTTGTTTTGTGACATTCCACAGTAATGCCAGTTATTTAAGATTAATGCTAGGTGGAGATATGTCACTTTTTTGACTGCAAAATAAAAGATCTTGCATTTTGGAATGGAAAGTAGACACCATCAAAGACCAGGCTTAGAAAAATCTTGCATCGGTGGTCCTTGGGGCAGCTTAGGCTATCTAAAGTATTTCAGTTTTGTTTGAGACAGAATCTGCGGCAGGCTAATTATCTGGATGTTTTATGATCTAAAGAGCTAGACTAAGAAGATGACTTGTTTGCCAAAGAGGAACAAAGATGAAAGTTTGCCCCAGTTGGATTTTATAGAGAAAGTTACATGCTAAATATGAAATAGGACAGTGGATGTCAGAGAGCATCTTGGAGTCAAACTGCTTATGATAGTGGCAGCCATGTCTGTCAGGTGTCTGTTCCATTTGCCTGTAGTGGGGGTGCAGATGTGCCCTGCTTTTGACTTCAAAATGGTTGCACCAGTAACTGGAGCTGCACCTCCACTTCCTTCACCTTCCCTCTACTGCCACCAGGAAGACTAGAAGAAAACTACCTGAAGTGAGAGAGCACAAACAGGAGAGGGGGGTCACTTACCTTTCTCCACATTTACTTCCCTATATAAAAACACTGACATCCAAGTGATATGTGAATAACTTATGATCAAACGTATGTCACATCTGCTGTGGCATTTAGTTCAACTCCTGAGTTTTTTGTCAGTGTTGCAGGGATACATATCAGGCTCTCCTGAGGAAAGCTTCAGGGAAGCTTGTGTCCTCCTGATTCAGTAACCTCAAAAGGCAGCCGGATAATGAGTTGTGAAAAAGAACTGCTCTAACATGCCATCCTTAACATGGCAAGATTTAATGATGCGGAACGTATGTGTAGTTTTTCTCTAAATATGTGTACATGAATGAATTTTCATAAGCAAGATAATGGAAGTTCACTCAGAAAAAACAGTTCTGTTATTTCCCCAAATTAAAGAGTACATTGAAGGAATGGGAGGCAATTATGCCTTGTAGCTAATGGGATCATTACCAGGTTGTTGGGCACTTCATAGTCCTGGAATTGCTGAAAGGGACAAGTGTTCTGTGAGTCTCTGATTTACATGGGTCTCAGTTATTTTGGTTATATGTCATGAAGTAATATCTGACTTAGGGTGGCCCTGTGGGCCTCAGTTACCATACTGGAAATGCGTAGGTGTTGTTCTAAGAGTAAGGCAGCTATATTTGAAACGAAACACGCAGACAATTGAAATGGAGGGTTGATTCATACAGTTTTAGAAATACTGAGTGAGCTGACTGTGAGGCATCACTGTGATGAAACGGACAGAGTGTGCAGCATGGAGTGCCACCTGTCTTTTTGTCACCCTCCCATGTTTTTCAACAATGCCTTAACATGAAATATCTATTCAAGAGGGAAAATGTCATGAGCATGTCTCTTTCCTTTCCTCCTCTCAGCAGATCTAAACAGAGAGCCTAAATACAGTCCTTTATCTGAGCAAGACAAATAAAGGTCTGTGTGATTCAGGGTCTTCATAAGAAGGTTGTTTTCAGTAACATCAAGCAAAGTAACATTTCCCTTGTTCTTTCCCTCACTTTCCTGAAAGGCTTGACTCCACCTTCGGGGAAGTTCATGCTGCCCAGGGGTCACATGATGGAAATGCTGGATGTTACTTAATTGGGCAGCTTGTTTGGCTTGTCTCTGGCTCACTGGGTTAATGTATTCCCTACTCCTCCAGCCCTCACTCTTCTGCAGTTTTTCCCCTGAACCTGAGTTAGTTCGATTCTTAGCTGCTGTCTGCAAATCTTACTCATTAACCTTGACATTTCTGTGCCATACTTCAATCCCCTCTCTTCACATTCTGAGTCTGAGCTTTCTAACTTGGAAAGGTATGTTTTGAGAGAAGCAGTCCCCATCTCTGCAGAAGAGATGGAATGGTTGCACATTGCCTTTTGATTGCCTAGAAGCCACATGTGGAAGCACCCTTGACCTAGTTACTCCTAGTAGTTAGTTCATTGGATGATCTTTCACAAATCTCTCAAAGTCGCACCTTGCTTTACATCACAGGATTGTTGTTGTTAGTCGCGAAGTTGGGTCCGACCCAGCGCGACCCCATGGACAACATTCCTCCAGGCCTTCCTGTCCTCCACCTTCCCCCGGAGCCCACCTAAGCTCACAACATCACAGGACAGTTGGGAGGATAAAATGGTATAACCTTATATATGCTGCACTGCGTTCCCTGGAAAAAGGACAGAGTTCATATGATATAAAAGGGTTTACCCCAGAAACCAGTAGAAGGTTAGGCACTGTACTGAAGAGATACATTTTCTAGGAGAGACGTTGAATCTGACTTCATATGGCAAATAACCAAGGATTCTTTGAAATACTTATAGTGATGTTGCTATAAAGGGGCAAGTTAATAATCCTAGCACTTTCGTATCGAGTATATTTTAAAAGGGCCAACACAGTGCAATATAACATTGTTCCTTCTTGCATTTTCCATTGTTATAAGTGTGTTGTGAGATTACTGCACTGCTGACCTGTAGCACCTCCTCTCTCTAGTACTTAGTGTCATGAATGGGACAAGTTGTGCAAGTTTTGCTTGTTGCGGACAGATTAGCATTTGCTCAGGGTTTCTCTGTGCTGGATAATCATGTGGATGAAGTTGTAAATTATGGCAATCTGCCCTTGAACATTCCAGTTACATTTTTAAAAAAGCTTGTAACTGGAACATTTTCCACACTAGCATTCTTTTATCCTTTAATCTGTATTAGAAGGCATTTGAGGTCACTGGAACCCTGAAAATAAATTAATATGCTGAATATCCAGGTAGCCTAATGTTCACTTTAAATGTGACTCCTTACAATTTTTGCAAAATGGCCTTTTTAATATAGCTAGAAAATATTTACCAGAGACCATATGGGAATCTCCTGTTCATTTATACCTTGAGCTTTTAAGAGCTCAATCTAGTGGGGACACCTATAACTCTATGAGTTTGCAAGATTATGGGCATCCTATCAAGGATGGAAGGAACACAAAGGCCAAGATGGCCAAGACACCCCATGTATATGAGACACAATGTATAACAGCAGAGCCTCACTCCTCCCTACCCTGCTCCCTGGGTCATCACTCCCTCCCACGCCCTGCAGTAATAGCAGCTCCGAGGTTGGTCTTGCAACCTTGGAGCCGCAACCAATACAAAAAGAACCATACCAGGTACGAGGGAGTTGGGGCTCAGAATATTCCTATGCCCAGTCGGCATCTGCCAAACATCAGATTGTGCCCTAAGATGGTTTTCTGTATTAGTTGTCTGGATTGCTCCAAATTTCTTAAGTGGGAGTGTGTTAGGTATATCAAGTCCAGAACTTAAGGATTGCTTTTCCTGGGAATTCTATGGTAAATATTATTTAGAGGTTATCTTTGGGATGCGATCTTTTATTTCTAATCCTCAACAACCATTCTGTTGGCTATTTGCCCCTCATTACTACATTCTGCTAACATACTTGGGCCATTGTCTAGTTTAATTTGATAACTGCAAAATGTATCACCACCAAAACAGACTAGGTATCATAAGAGAACTGTCTTTATCCTTTGATTGCACTTTTAAAGATAAATAATAATCATGTTAAGACACTAAACAAGTAGAGCATATCTGGCTTAGTGTCAAATTAATGTGCACTGTTACAAATACTCCCCTATTCAGCTGTGTGTAACCATTTTCTTAAATATTTTGATTCTGTTTTGTTACATAAATCAATGTGAGCAAAGTGAAATTCCAGTTCAAAAAACTTTCTTAGTTAAGAAACACACTGGAAGAGATTCCATAGGCGATACCTTACCATCATAGAATAGCAGAGTGGGATGGGACCAGGTGGCCACTGGGTCCAACCCCCGCTCAGTGCAAGTTAAACCATCCCCCTCAGATGGATCTCTAGTTGCATCTTGATTGCCTCCAGTGTGAGAGAACCCACAACTTCCCTGGGATAACTGATTCCATTGCTGTACTGCTCCAACAGTCAGGAAATGTTTCCTGTTACCTAGCTGGAATCTGGCTTCCTGTAATTTGAGCCTATTATACTTTCTGAACAATTCACTGCAATTAAAACCATATAATACAACATGATAAATATAATATGGACGTTGAAAATACAGTATAAATATATACAAGCCAAAATAAAAGTAGCAATGCAAAGATTTAAAATACAGTAACGGATTTAAAACAACAGAAAGTAAAATGCCTGGGAGAATAAGATGATCTTTATCTACAGTCAGAATAACCACAATGTAGGTACCAGGTGAGCCTTTCTGGAGAGCACATTCTGCAGGGAAAGATTGCTGAAAGCTATTGTATAGACTAGGCAGAGAGAAAGAGAGATGTATGTATGTATGTAAGATGATACAATGATTAGAGCTCAATGGCTGCGAAAACATTGAAATGGTTCCATTGTCCACTTCTGCAACTTGTAAACTTCCATTGCTATTACCATCTCAGGGAGCAGTCCATTTTCCAGTTTGGCTTTGTTGCAACAGAAGGTACCATGTCTTAAATAAGTTTTAAATTAATCCTGTTTTTCTTTTTAGGTCACAAATCCTAGCCTTGAACAAAAGGTGTGAAGCATTTCAATACAGCTGTCTACAAGGGGATCATATGGTCAACATTATAGTTTAATTTGACAGGTAAGATCAGCATTATCTTTTGGAGCGAACTATATCAAACATAGAAAATCACACTAAACAGACATAGAATTGTGCTGTGAATTTAAGTGGACGTGTATTAATTTGTGTGATATATAGTCTGTGGAATTCCCAGAATGGCTTGAAGCAGTGAAGAACATTTGTCCAATGTGTGCCATGCCCATTTCTCTTTCTTTCTTTCTTCAGATCCACTTTCTTTTTGATGATGTTATTCCACATGAGTGGGCCAGGGGTAAATCGCATGGCTTATTTAAATGAGTGGGTAACTGTTTATTTTTATTGCTCATAGCCATAGGCCGCCAGAGATTTGAAAAAGAGAAACAATAAGATACAGTAAAAATACAGACCAATTTGAAATCCAAAAAATGATAAAATGTTACAAACCATAACAAGTATAGTAGAAATATAATAATTTTCATAACCTAATTAAAATCATACAACCATGAGAACAAATGAAATAATCCTTATCCATAAAATTAGGATAAAACTGTAGGGTACTCCCTAGCACTTATTTTTTTTAGCAGCCAGGGCAAACTTTGCAACTTGAGTGGGTTTCCCTACAATAACACAAATAAGAGCATATTTGGGATGGGGGAGCAATCTCGGGCCACCTGTACCTTATTTATTGCAAGGAAACATGCTTCTTTAAGTACTTATGGCTTTAACCTTGTAGCCACTTTTATGGAAGTAAGCCCTGTTAACTCAACAAATATCTCAGTAGGTATGCATAAGAATGCTTAAATGTAAATATGCAATACAAGATATGGAGTAAAACAGTAGGAGAGTACTATATAATAAGGCAAATAAGAAGCAGCAAATATCTTACTGCTTACAAGTACAAAATGCACATGCAGATAACGTGTGTTGTTGCTGAATAATTTTTAGTGATCTAGAGAGTCGATTTTAAATTACATAATGTAGGCTTCTATATAGATGAGAACAAGTCTTGGGGCTGAGCACACCTGGCTTATATTAAGCAAAAGTTCCCTATTGCATAATCCGGGCTTATAAACCAGCATTAAGCCAGACTTCTATGGGTCAAATGCAGTGGAAATTCTGGCTTGTTGTGAACCAGGATCTTTACTCTGAAACTGCCTCATGAATCGAGGAGCATGATGCTCTTCCTGGCTTCATCAGCCATAATTTGACCCAGGCTGTTGTTTCTCTGCTTCGGAGTCCAACAGACTATTTTTACAACCAAACACTTTATATTATTGTGAGGAGGTTGAAGTGACAGTTTGCACCAGTGTTTACACAGTAGGAACACTCATTATGCTTATAATTTGATTGTGGTTCTGATGGGAAGAAGAAAATTTTTTCATAAAAATATGTTGGTATCTGCAGAATTTATACCTTTTAATCAGAAACTGAAGTAGATAGGTGACTGTCCATTTGCTTGAAGTGGCATTACACAATCAGCATTATTAACATTTTATGATAACTTATTTGACTCCTGATCCCCCATATGAGTACACTGCACAAACAGAATAAGTAAAGTTTTGGAACTTGCATTGGAAGTGTTCCTGTTTGAAATGTCAGTGCATGAAAATTAATCTGCATCAAAAACAGCCAATTAATTTTAATTAACCATAGCATAACATTTATAATACAAGTGTTCATACCTCAGCTCTCCAAATCTTAGACCTCTATATCTTTGAGGAAATTTACTGTGCTGCAACTAAAAGCAGATTCATTAATAAATGGAACTAGAAAATTTCAACAGCTAATTAGTTGAAAGTGTCCATACACTTTTTGAGGTTTTTGAGTTCACAGCACATAGGTTAAGTACAAACTGTTGGCAAGATGCATGAGTGTCATGTAAGACTATTACTGAAAGAAAATAACTAGAGTTACTGCATTTAGGGTACAAAAGCTCTTGATGCTCATAAACCTCTGAACTTGAAGGTTTTGACTCCTCTGTAGAGGCAGAAGCGTTTTCTTTCTCCTTGTTCCTTCCACTGCACAGTTCAGTTGCAGTGCTTCAGAATGGGAGGGAAGGTGGCTGGAACTTCACCATGATTCTTTGCATTTTGGTGGCCCTGAATGATGTTGTTTTTCCAAACTTGAAGAAGCAGTTCTTTCCATATCAGTTGCACTGGGGAGGGAGGATCCCTGTCTATTACCTTGGAGCTGGGAACCTGAAGAATATTTATTTAGTTAAGGTCTAAACCAGCCTTTCCCAAGCTGGTGGCCTTCAGAGGCATTTGAACTGCAACTCCCAAATTCCAATCCAGCAGGGCCACTGACTGGGAATTCTGGGTGTTGCAGTCCAAAGGTGTCTGGAAGGCACAAGGTTGGGGAAGGCTGGTCTAAACTGATGTTAATTGGAGATGATGATGATTAATTTTATTTTCATAATGCTCAGTAGCTGAAGCTTTGTGGGCAGTTCACAGCAAAATGTAAAATATGTGAAAACTTTACTACATAATTTAAACATCAAACTTAAAACCAAATTTTAAAAGCTACAAAAATTGTTGTTTGCTGTCAAGTCATCTCTGATTTAAGAAGACCCTGTGAATTAGTACCTTTCAAAATGTCTTGTCCTTGACAGCCCTGCTCAGCTCTTATAAACTCAAGGCTGCAGCTTCCTTTTTTGAAATAATTTTATCTCGTATTTAATCTCTCTCTCTTGCCTTCAACTTTCCCTAGCATGATTGTCTTCTCCAGTGGGTCTTGCCTTCTCATGATCTATCTAAAGTTCTACAGCCTCAATTCTGTCATTTTTGCTTCCAAGAAAAATGCTGGCTTGATTTGATCTAGGATTCACTTGTTTGTCTTCCTGTTGGTCCAGGTTATTAACAAGGCTCTTCAACACCCTGTTTCAAATGCATCCATTTTCTTCTTGTCAGCTTTCTTCACTATCCAACTTTCATGCCCATACATTGTGATTGGGAGTACACTAATTTGGGCAACCTTGGCATCCAGTGAAATATCCTTACCCTTGATTACCATTTCTAGTCCCTTCTTTGCTGCCCTTCCAAGTCTGTCTTTCTCACATTTCTTGTCTGTAGTCTCTATTTTAATAGATTACTGAGCTAAATTATGCAAAATCTTTCACAGTTTCAGTCTCTCCGTTGTTGACTGTAAAGTTCTGCAAAGCTTATATAGTCTCAGCTGTTGGTATAAAAATGAAATAGTCACGATTTTTGATTTCAGCTACAGTCCTGCTTTTGTACTTCCTTCCTTTACTTTCATCAGGAGTTATTTCAGTTCACTGCTGGTATGGCATCATCTGCATCTCTTAAATTATTGATGTATCCTCTCAGTTTTCACTGCCTTCCTCTGATCCACCTTCACTTATGTTTTCACTGTCTTCCACTTTCCGTATGATATGTTTTGAATGCAGATGGAACAGATAAGGAGATAGAATACATCCTTGTCTGATGCCCCTGTCTTGTTTCTTCATATTCTGTCCTAACATTAACTTCTTGCCCATGATACAGGTTAAGACAAAAAAAGGCTGCAATAGCAAACATAAATTAAAACATAAGAACTGTTAAGCAGCTGACACAAAACCCCCAACAGAATCATAGAATAGTAGATTTGGAAGGACCAGAAGGCCCTTGAGTTAGCCCACTGCTGAGTACAAAGTTACAAAGTTGCTGCTAAGTTACACCATTCCACTCAGAACACTGTACAGATGTTTTTTGAATGTCTCTAGTGAAGGAGAGCCCTCAGCTTCCTTAGGTAATCAATTCCATAATCATACTGTCCCGACAGTGGGGAAATTCTTCTTGGTGTCTAGTCTAAATCTGGTTTCTCTTAAGTCTATTATTTCCTTGTCCTGCACTCTGGAGTGGACAAGAAGAGATATTGTCCTTTCTTTTTATGACAGCCTTTCATGTACTTTTTTACTATTGAAGCTAATTAAATGTGCTGTTATAAAAGAAGTCTTTGTTTTTGTTTGTTTAGTCACTAAGTCGTGTCTGACCTTCACGACCCCATGGACAGCATTCCTCCAGCATCCCTGAGTCCACCCAATCCCACACTGACCACAGCAGTGACCCCATCTAGCCACCTCAACCATCCCTTTCTGCTTTTGCCTTTAATCATTCCCAGCATCAGGGTCTTCTCCAGTGAGTTCTTTCTTCTCATTAGGTGGCCAAAGTATTTGAGATTCATCTTCAGTATCTGGTCTTCTAAAGAGCAGTCAGGGTTGATCTCCTTTAAGACTGACCAGTTTGATTGCCTTGCAGTCCAAGGGACTCGCAGGAGTCTCCTCCAGCACCACAATTCAAAGGCCTCTGTTCTTTGGCGCTCAGTTTTCCTTATGGTCCAACTCTCAGAGCTATACAAGTGGGGAAACCATAGGTTTGACTATATGAACTTTTATTGGCAGGGTGATGTCTCTGCTTTTTAGCATGCAGTCTAGATTTGCCATAGCTTTCCTCCTAAGCACAAGTATCTTTTAATTTCTTGGCTGCAGTCACCATCTGCAGTGATCTTGGAGCCCAAAAAATAAAATCTGTCACTACCTCCATTTCTTCCCCATCTCTGTTTCTTCTTCTGCCCCTTCACCACGGCAAGGCAGTGATCCATGAATGGGAGAAGAAGTCTTAACCTGTGCTAAGAAGATAGAAGGGTTGGTGCCAGGTAGGCCTAAGGGAGGAGCTCATTCCATAAAAGGGGGAGCACTGGGAAGTCCTCTCTCTGGGTAGCTTCTTGTTGGGAGAGGTCTTCTATGAAGTATACCCGCGGAGTGTTAACAAAGTGGCAATGTAGAGTTTGTGTTGAATTTATTATTTATTTATCCTTGGAAAGAATACAATTTTAAGAAGGTGGATTCGGCCTCCCTGATACATCCTTATGTCAGTGGGTTTCTGGGTTGACTTGTACTAGTTTTCATCTTAGTCTACATTCCTCTCTCTAATCATTTCTTGGAATTGGATTCTCACTATATTGAAATGTGCCTCCTACAGTTACTGCAGTTAGAGATGTGTGGTGTATATTTTGACATCAGTTGCAGTTTGAGTTACTTTCAC